GACCCCCCCCTCTCTCTCTCTCTCTCTCTCTCTTCCTCTCTTTCTAATTCTGTCTCTTCCTCCCTCTCACTTTCTCTCCTAATTGTCATGCCAACATCGAAAATCAAGTCTATCTAATCCTTTCTAAAAGCTTTATCCTTTGCCTGAGGTTGATTGAAGGTCAGCACTAATGCCACAAAGTGATGGATGTAAGGATTCCGTGAGTCTTTGCTTGTTCTGTGTTTCAGTTGCAAGTACGGTAAAGCGTTGACTAAGACTAAACTAAGCAGTTGGGAGGACGAAGATACTGATATTGTTATAATGCTAGCTGTACTCAAATGTAGTGATTTCCGATAATATCCGTCCATCATCACCTCAATGTGTCCCGGGTATAATGCTATGGCCCTAGGCTAAAACACGGAAGCAGAGATATCCTAATTATCCTCGCGCTCCGGAAGCGGCTAGTTTTGGGTGGCCAATTGGGTAATAAATAATGGTGATGGCCACTTTGGCTGTCGATGCTGCGAAGTCCTGGTGATCTTTATTAGAATCTCTGCGCCACACGTCCAACACAGCACGTCTAGTGGGTGGTCTGCGGGTGCATTCTTGTGATTTGTTCCTTCTTCCCTATGAAATATGTGTCGTCCTTGTCTCTCCAAATTTGTGTGTGTGCTTGTTTCTATCTTATGATATTATCTGTAATCTTCGGCACCTCTATGGCCTTGTTATATTAAGTGTCGTAAAACTCTCACTAAAGCTTTAAAAAAACAACCCTACTAAAAGCAACGTTTTATATACGAACTGAAATACATAATGTCGTGCGATGATTTTTAAAGGAATTATCAAATTGTGCTGACAATGGGTGGCTATTATTATAATATTTAAAAAGATATTGTTGCAAAAATCAGTGTTGTGCCATATTTTTATAACTGAAATTCGAACTTTGCAGGAAAGGCTTGACTGATTTTTTATGTTTGAAAACGATAGATTCGCTGAAGTTAGACAATGGTTTGAAGAGAAAGCACGAGGTGGCATAAAAGCGGATGCAACTACTAGTTAAAGTGGACGGAATAAAGGAGGAGTTGAGAGAAAATCTAGGGAAAGGTCGAGTTCCTAAGATGAGGAAAAGGAAAAGGTTACATTAGAAGGAGGAAAGTGATTTGGCGAGGGGGGGGTGGTAGAACAAGAGATAAATAAAAGAAAACAGAGAGAGAGAGAGAGAGAGAGAGAGAGAGAGAGAGAGAGAGAGAGAGAGAGAGAGAGAGAGAGAGGGGGGGGGAGGGGGGAGTGCTGAAAGAAAAGGAATTTAGAGACTATAAGATGGCAAGGAAGGGGTTTTGGGATGCGGAGTGAACAACAGGATTTCAGGGATTTGTCAGCGGCTTAGCACAATGCCTTACTGAACTAGACTTAAAAGTGCATCCAAAGAAAGAATG